GGTACGTAAATAAAAACAATCTTACTAGAAGGGAAGGCATGATTAAAATTAGATGCCACTCAATCAGTAGTCAATATTTTATTTTTCAGTAAATATTCGTTATTTTGGACGTTTGTCTGCGTAGCAAGCGGTTTTTTTAAATGCGTTTTCTGTTTGTGGGTCGTTTGGTCAAAAGGCGTTCGAAAGCGCTGGTATAGAGGCAGAGATTTCGGTCGGTGCGTTTTTTTTCTCTTCTTCCCCAGATGAAAAAGTGACATCAACATTAGTCCGCCAGCAAGACTCCCTCAAACAAAAGGAACCCCAAGACATTTGACCGTTTAATGTGAATTGGATTCGGGAAGACGGTGATTGGTTATACAGGTGCAAGACTCCATATGGGAGGGGTAGGGAACTTTAAAAAAATGACTCTAGGGGTAACACAATTACTGGTGACCCAGTAGTTTTATTGTGACCCATACTGATAAGGACAGAAACAACAGGCATTTGAAAATAAACATAGCAAGGTTAAGAACCTCAACTGCTCAGTGGAAAACCAGGGGTCAATTTAATAAAACTTTTAAAATTGTAATTTGCAAGTGTATCTATTGTTTTCGGACGCTAAAACAATGGCTGCACTTGTAAATTACACTTGTAAAAGTTTGACCCCAGTTGGCTATTTACTCCGGACTACCAAGGACAAATCCAACCAGCGATAATAAGGGGGATAATAAGTCTAAGCTGAATTTGAAAATATTGTGTACAAGACAGATCCAACAGAGTCTGGGTGTCCTGTGGACATGTGATTTGACCAGCGGTAACCCTCGCAGGCTCATCTGGCGCTGAATCTGAAATAAATATGGCCGGGAAACTGCCGAAAGAAGGTGAGAAGATCATTGATTTTCGTCAATATCAGTGCATTTATCATTTCTGTTTGATACTGTTTGAAATTCATTTTGTTTTACTTATCTTTTCTCCGTTTCGTGCTGAAACCAGCGGCTCTAGTACAGTATGGTCGGTCAATTAAGCTAACACATTCCCGCGACTTGAATTGAATCAGCGAAGGTTATCTTATAATTGATTCCAAACAGCTCATTACTAATCGATTCATTAACCTTACTTTTGTAAAAAAAAATGGTTAAAACATTCAGTTTTGATTTTTTTGTCAAGACGAAGCTGACGAAGCGTAAAGTCTTCGTCAGACTTTTCAATTTTAGAAAATGCTGAAATTTTACTGTGATCATAATATTAATCTGGTAAATATTTTCCTCTTGATGGGGTGAGCAAACATGTTCACTCTCAAGTAGTTAAGTATAAACCACTTCTTAAGTCACGAGCCTTTTATCGGAAGTTATACAATAATTATTGTAGGTACTTTGTGACAGGTTATAAAATACTGCTGTCTCTGCAATTTCATGTACCAGTCATGTAGACAAGATTTTCTAAAAGGCACCAGCACAAGACATCAGACAAATAGACTAGTAATCACTGCCATTCTTTTAAGGCTTTTATTTAGGGTGGATCAATTTATAGCATACCCAAATCATGGTCATCACATTTACCTATACTAGAATTTTTTCACTGCCTTAATAAAGCTCAAAATTAAAAATAATTGTAACAATAATAAAAACCAGCAGCAGGTAAATGGGCTCAACCTCGGTGTAACAATTTGTAAAACTCATGAGTGGCATAAAGGAATGGAAACAAAGAAGTCAACACAGTAGAACCTAGGAATACAAAAGGTGCGAAACAAAGAAAAATTCACAGGTTCTTACATCGAGGTAAACCGGGCATATGTGAAGTCTTTACCCCCAGACTTCTGTAAAATTGCTGCACTACAAACAGATTGACAATGATCTTCCCCGTAGACAAAAACAATTTATATTTAACAAACCTTACATATAAGCTTACTGCTACAATAACTTCTTAGTCTAAAATAAATTTCACTCACAAACTTTCTTATATTGCTAACAACCTCCTAACAACCACGATGCATAAATAAACATTTACTGCCACGTATAAACACAATCTTAACCTTGAATGTCAGCGTTCTTTGAGTCCCCACAAAGCCCAGTGTCTACTTTGTCTTGAAACAATGTTCATGCTTGAACACTTTTCCTGGCTGAAACCGTTTCATTCATACTTGAAATTAGGCCATCTCTGAAATTTTTGTGTAATGCATTCACAAAATTATTTTGGAATATAATTATTTGCAACATGAGCATGAACCCTTTTTTAATTTTTTCTCTTTGTTTTCCCCTTTTAACCAAGAATACCTAACGATAGTTTTTTAAAATGATAAACAATACAAGTAATTGACCATTAAGGGAAGATGCAGTCAGTGTGTGTCCCTCAAATAATGTCAAAAATAATTGATTTAAACAAACATAACGAAAAGAAATCGTTACTCGCTAGGGACAAATGTACAAAGTCTACAAACGTGCAGTGGAATTGAAGTCGGGACTACCAAGATCAAATCCAGCTGTTGTTTGCTGTTTGATTAGTCATGGAGGCCTCTGGATTGCAAGTTCAACCCATGACTAGAGTGAATGATAGGATCTTGTAAGGTGGTGCTAACTTTTCAGTCCTTGGAAAAAGTTTTTCAGTGTAGCCATTCAAAAAAATTAATGAAACCTGTTTGGCATTACATTTTACATGTAGTACTATTTGTTTTGTAGAATTTTATAAACAAAAAAATTCGCCAATTTGTTGAATTAGCCATGAAATCCAGAGTTTCTTCACTTCTTACTTAGTTCCACAGTTGTAAAAGGCGTGGAAGTAGTGAATTGTCTGACAAAGTGGGGATCGATGTTGTCACACTTTTCCCCAGTCACGAACCCCATGTAATTCTTTACTTAGTTGTACACTTCTCAAAGGTATGAAAGTGTGGAATAGCCTGACCAAGTCAGGATAATATCGCACTTTTTCCCCAGTCATGAACCTCTTGGCATTCTTTACTAAATTCTACACTTCTCAGAGGTGTGGAAGGATAGAATGGTCTGAAAACGTCAGGATAATGTCGCAGGTTTTCCCTGTCCCAAACCCCTTTTCATTCTTTACCTAGTTCTACACTTCTCAGAGGACGTGGAAGTGTGGAATTGCCTGACGAAAAAAAAAAAGTCAGGATAATGTCACACTTTTCCCCAGTCCCGAACCCCTTGTCACTCTTTAGTTAGATCTACACGTCTCAGAGGTGCGGAAGTGTGGAAAAGTCTGACAAAGTCAGGTGAATGTCACACTTTTCCCCAAGTCAAGAATCCCTCGTCATTCTTTACTTAGCTCTACAGTTCTCAGAGGTGTGGAAGCGTGGAAAAGTGTGACAAGGCAGGATGTTGTGACACTTTTCTCCATTCACGAACCCCTTGCCATTCTTTACTTAGTTTTATAGTTCTCAAACAACACCCACACAACTGTCTGAAAGACAGGGTTATTTACATTAACAGACGTACATGTGCGATATTTTGTTTCACCGCAGCATATTGATGTTTCACATCTTTACACCTACAAGAATCCTGACTTTGACAGACGTTTCCACGCTTCCACATCTCGGAAAAGTATAGAACTATGTAAAGAATGAGTAACAGGGGAAGAGTGCGATATTATCCGGATTTCAGTCAGACTATTCCCCCCTTCCACACCTCGGAGAAGTGTAGGACTTGGAATCAGAAAGGAAATTTGGGATCTTCTGCACTTCCACACCTCTGACAAGTGTAGTAAGGATAAAAAAGGAAAGTTCCTAACATTCATTTAGACCTCTAGTAAAATTCATCTTTACAAATTAGGGGTGGTCCACAGGGGTAGTTCATGGACCTGGTCCACGAAGGGGTCCATGGACTAGGTCCAGAGAGGTGGTTCATGGACCGTGGGTTTCATGTCCAAACAGAACGATAATCAAACATTAAAACCTTTTCCGACCGTATGTGTTCCCCTATTATAAAAATTCTAAGCAAACGTCAAGGTCAAGAGCTGGGAATTTCCTCTTTGCTTTAACAAAACAAAATTTGCAACATTATGGGATAGGTTGGCGTATCCAGAAAGAACAAGATAAAAAATGTCCACTTGCTATAAATCAGCCCATTGTGTGGAGACGGAAGACTCAAAACCCCAAAGTGACAGTTACAAAATCTGGGTCACTTGAGTTTCCCAAGCTTACCAGTAAGCGCCCCTGAACTAAACGGATCATTGTCTTTTTCCTTCATATTTTTTCCCACACAAACGCTAAGTCACCTGGATTATAATTTCTTCAGTTATCTAAGATTTAAAACCGACATACGATGCAGAGAACACATTTCGGCGAAAACAGCAACACTGTTATATGCCAAATCTATGGTCGTTTATCGTGCCCCAGTATTTAATATTCTCGAAGGTAGATAACCCATGAAAACATAAAAATTTTATTGATTATAAATACGCAAAAGCCTTTAGCATAAGCGTTAAAGTCATTAAAACCTTTGGCTAGCATGCTGTAATAAAAAAAGGGTCTCGGAAGGGTCTCGGACCCTCTCAGTTAATCCCGTTTTTAAGCAACTTCCCCTACTGGGACGTTTTGGGAGTTTTGATATGTTATGAAGGATACACCTCTCAGTCTAAAACAGTTGTATCTTCTGTTGCAATGAGCTGCAGGTTAACCTACTTTTTTTCCACAAAATGACTGATGATTTGGGGGTATCCATTTTAGTCACAACCCATGCCAAACCGTCATTGTAATAGTAGATAAAATTATCCACGTGCGAGTGATCCTTGAAAGTGAATTAATACATAACTGCTCGCGTGTTTCGCATCAAATTTCACTGAACGACTTCACTTTAGCATCGGGCCTTAATATCTTGAGGCCTGGAAAAGAAAAAGGCTGGATTTTGTGGAGAAAACAAAAACGAATGACAACAATCGGCCGGATTTTTAGATCAGCTTTTTTCTTTAGACAGAGATATCGACCCTAAAAATCGTGAAGTGTAAATTAGCCGTCTTCGAAGTATCGTAAATTCAATATTGAAACCAGTCTTAACATCATTAGATAAAAGAACTGAGTAGCACACCAACTCACTTTAGAAAGTGGTATGGTGGGTGTTGGGAGTCTCGTTAAAGTAGACTGGGCAGCCCGACCCTCAAACGTTAAAGTACGGTCTCTAAAGTTACGTAAAATTTGTTAATTTATTTGCAATGAATTTAAGTTTATTGTTGTAAGTATATTATAAGCATACAATGGATATCTATGCCTTTAGGGTTGGCAAAATCTATGTAGTAGTGTTAATAATGTAATTAGCCAGAAAAGGTGCACTTTCACTACGTAAATTTAATTAACCCCGGTCAAAACTAGCAGTAGTCTTTGAGAGTCATTCTAATAAAACACTCTTGTTGTGATAAATTGATCGCCGCTAAGGCCTCTCCTGTACTCCCTGAATATTGAAAGAGAATTAAAGAGAATAACAATTACAGCTATCTGTATTTGAAAATATGAGCCCGATATACTGAACAGTTTCGAAGGAATTATCTTCCAAATACTCGAAACTTTACGATGAATGTAACAGCTCATTAACGCTTTTGCCATCCAGCGATTTTGCAATTTTCGATAACGGCTATTTCCTTTGTTATTTCTTGCAAAGAGCTAAAAATTGCACAAATTGCTCAAATTAACCGGCCCTTTTAACTTTTGAATTAAAGTTGTACCCGCGGTGACGTCTTAATTCTATGGGTTTATTCCAACGCAAATGAGTAAAAATGTAAACAATTAGGTCGACAAAGATATGCCTATTCTCATCTCTTCTGTCGCAATGAATTATTCCCAACTTTAAGGGAAAACTTAACAACGCAAAACTAGAATTAAACAAAAAATTATATCCAAAGTATATCAATTTCTTTGGCTTTAGATTATTAATGTGTTTATCAGTTTGATTTTACCTCTGTAACTTTAGTGTAATCTTTCCACACAAAATGCAGCTCGGAATGCATATCTTTCTCAACAGCTGTTATTTGCTGTTTGGAATACAGCAGGCAGTTGCCCTTGGCGTTCTCACACCAACTTCCTTGCTCACGTTTACACATCACAAAGGCTTGGCAAAAAGCATCTTTTGAACAAGAGGAAGCACACTGTGTACTATTAGAGGCCCGATATTCGCCACGACGTGGCTGATTTGCTTTGACTTTGAGCTGAGACAAAGTAAAATTTTTCCTTTCTCGTTGCAGTCTCGGTAGAAAGACCACAGTCTTGGACCATTTGGAATCATCTGCACTGTACTTTCCTTTAGAATCAAGTAGCTTGCACCCTCTCCACGCAAATTGACCTCCACCGTTGAATACCTCAATTGCTACACAATCCGCCTCCAGCAGGCAAATAGCTCTACAATCAGTCTCATCTACTTCCTGCAAAAGTCTGTAGCCTGAAAGAAAAAAGGCCATTTTTTGAAACAGAGAAGTTCACATAGGAAAGTTTTACTGGCGCCAATTTTGTTAACACATCATCGATGAGACTTGAACAATTATGGAAACGTAATTCTTGTCTGTAAGTGAAGCAAAATAATTCATAATCGTGAAGCCTCATACATGTCTGTTTTGATTGGGGTACTGTCGATTCGTTATGATGTAGTAGCTTTGACCTTAGAGTAGTAGTATGATGTAGAAGTTTAGACCTTTAGATATTTTAAAGAAAATCCAATAACATTTACCAAATTGGCGTACTCCGACACCTTGCAGGGAAGTTCCTAGATGGATGCTGTCATCGCACGAATCTACCAGTCCCTCGTCTTTCAAAGCCTGGCAGTAATTCGTGGATGCATTAATCAGCTTCTCTCTCACAACGCCCATGTTAACCCCAGGAAGATGCTTGGAATATCTTTCAGTAAACAGGTTGTGAATGGCGGACAGGGAGTATGTTATTGGCACCGGATTCTCCTTGACAGAGGAGGCCCACGTCATGGCATCACCGTTACTAGGAGGGGCTGCGCCTACAGTGATGGTGCTTGTTTGCACTGACTTCTGAAAATTGGAAGCCGCAGATCTTTGCTCTTTATCCATTGAAAATCCCCCTCCAACACTAAAGAGCCCTGAATAGCTGGCTTGTGCCTCAACGCTTATTTTCTTGCTTCTGAGCTCTTCATATTTTGTCTGACTGACTTTGTGGTTTTTTGTGAATCTTGCTCCGAATGTTACCTCCGTCACGAAATGAGTTCCGTAGTATTTAATGAACTGAATAACATCATTTTCGTTAGCATCTGGTTTAGCAAGTGTCTTTGCCCAGCGCACAAAACCTGGTTGAAATGGCGGTGGTTCGGTGAGGTCCATTTTGCTGAAGTAATAGCGGCACTGCGCTTGGGAAATTATGTACAAGAACTCTCCTGACGACATTTGTGCCACGGATTCTGAATAACTTGCACTTGCGGAGAACTTAAAGCCCCATCCACCCCCTAAAATAAAAGCAAATAGTCTTCTAATTTTAACACTTAATTATGTAACATAATGAGCGATTTTTCGAACGCACATTGGTGGAGAGCCATGTTTTAAGACAACAAGGACGGCGACGCTTCAAACTTTTTTCCACTTATTCCATCTCGTTAAATTCGTCAAATGTTGGCAGTTTTTTTGTGGAGTTGAATTCTAAAAGACTGTATCGAAGTTCAGGAAAAGAAAATGAAAGCCATTCTCTTGTGTTCACGTCCTCCACAAAGCGTGAAAATAGGCATTTTCACGTCGTAGTCGTGCAGTGACGGCAAGGAAATGTACAGAAAAGTGTACAGAACTTTTGTTTTGCTTATCTAAACCAAGAGAGGATAAAGGGGACAGAGAAGGCATCCCCCATACACACCCTATTCCATAGGTAATTCGTCTCGAGTTATTTTTAGAATCGGGATAAAGTTACCTCGCGCGCTGCATGGATGTTTCGTGGAGGTTTCGTATGACTAAACACCGTGCAAAACATGTCGGGCGAAAGACAATGAAAGCGTAAAGAGATCGAGAGCATTCCTGAATATTGAAGCGAAATGCGTCGGCGCTCACCTGGGAAAAGGGAATCGCTGGACTCTTTGACAACCCGTGAAATCAGTTTAACTCGAAGTTGTCTTAACCTCAGTGCTTTAATAAAATGAGAAATTTCGCCGTTCTATTGAAACCGGTCGTTTGTACAATAAAGCAGGTAGGACGCCAAGTGTTATTTTGGTTGAATAATAAAAGACTAATAAAAGAATAAATATCAAACCAGAAATTGCACTCTTCAAACTGTAAATTTGTAAATGATCCTGAGGGAATATTCAGTGTGTTAAGGATTTCCCTGCTGTACTGTTAGCTCTATACAAGAGAGGAAGGGAGATTCTTTTTTAATTTCCGTTTCGCTGACACCGCTTTAGTAGAAATCTCTCTTTAGTCGTTTTCGTCGACATAACGAATAGCAATATCGCTCTCTGCGTCTTCCGCCATTTTTTCAGCGTCAATTCGTGAAGGACGCTTGGTTCTGAGCGTGGGTCATCCACGCGGAACACATTCGCGCTATGTGATTGGCTGTTGTCTAATCCCCCTTGGGATCTGTGGTCTTAAAAATAGCTCGAGACGAATTACCTATGGAATAGGGTGTGTATGGGGGATGCCTTCTCTGTCCCCTTTATCCTCTCTTGTGTAAACTTATAACTGTTTTGCCGTTCCTCGTTGACGTCGCCTTCGTCGTTGCTTAAGCTCCCTAATACCCTTGCGCACTGTGCTTGGTCGTTGCCCATGACTTGAGTAAAGAAACATGGCCGTTAGGTGACGGGCAAATTCCATTTTTTTTTCCTCCAAAGAAATACACCGACACAAAAATGTTATCTTATAGCAGCATGAAAATTTCCTAAACTGGATAAATTCTCGGCAGTCCAGCGTTACGTGGTAAGTTTGTCTTCTTTTCTGTTCATTGTATAAAACAAACAGATTCCATTTTGCTGCGCGTCTGTTTAGTAATAGATTATAGTAGAAGTCAAAATGTCAGTGGAAGAACATAAGTATTAAACACACTCGCCGGCGGCTTGTGTGCAACTTTTCTGTTCCACGCGCAATTTGTCGTCGTCTGTGACCTATTATATTACTGAACAGACACTTGGCCAAATGGGATCTATTTGATAAAACACAAAGCAAATTTGTTGTCTACTTGTTAGCGAAGTCTTTAACGTTTTAACTCTATTTTGTTAGGAAAGCAGCCAGTGCTAACTAACAACGGAAGGCCCTTTTGAATCATGCTAAAGACGTTAAGTTAACTTGGCAGTGGTTTAATCTTCTCTCAGGGTATGTACACACGAGAGAGGATCACTATACTGGATAGCTTTTCGTACCGACTCGAGAAGCTGTCTGATATACTGATCAACACCTATCCGATATGGGACTCTCCACTTTAAAGATCGGCGTGGCGAAGCTTGGCTCCGTTACAGAAATCGCGCCGAAAACAACGTTCTTGTGTGAACAGGAACCCTAGCCGCTATGGTTTTCGTGCCGGCACAGTATAGAGTGAGAGTGAACCGAGTCTGAATCAATGGCTACTTGTAGGACGAACTGTCCACACAAGTACCTTTCAAATTCGTAAGGAAAAGGAAAAAACCAGGTGCAAATTTGGAATAGTAACTGAAATAAGAGGAACCTAACTTGGTCTTAAATCGAAAGAGTGATTTCAAATTCGAACGAGCGCGGTGCAAGACTTCCATCTGGAATCACAAGCTGTAATTTCAAAGAAAAATACACCAATTTTGATTTATACTGAAATTCATACTTGGTTCTGAGGCTTAGCAGAATAAAACAAAAAAAGTCATCTTAACGCTCAATAGTGAATAATATCGCTTCTTTTGTTTTATTCCTTGAAACCTCCATGCCAAGTATGAATCTAAATACATCGAAAATGGCCTGCTGCACGACACGAAGTTAAAAAAAAACAAAAAAAAACGAACAAACAACCAAAAAACGACCGCAAATACCTTCTCGTCTTATTTTGTAGGCAAAACAGAAATAACGCAATTACGGACAGAAATGATACGATAAATGCAGAAAAGTGTGATTTGTGAATCAATCGCACTGCTGTGAGCCAATCGTCAGACTACAAGGATCTGCAGTGATTTCACATTACATATAATAAAGGTAACCACATCTCATAAGGGCCATGGCTGATTGGAGGATCATTCATAAAATTTTTCGCGGACTTTTACTGTAAATAACTAAGACGAGCACCTTCAACATTCGCGGCTGCCTCAAGGGACTGTGACATCTCCAGTCTGTTTCGTATAATCTTGGAGGAGAAAGTAGTTTCACACGACACATCAGGCACAACAACCAAGCCTGCTGGAACACTGTAACGACAGTCAGAGGTCTGCTTTTCAGGAGTATAGTCTGTCAGGAATATTGGGTGCGTAAAGCCAGGATCGTGTCCTGTTGCCAGTGGATAGCCGTTTAAAATGTCATATCCAAAGAGCGCGTAATCAAGATCGGGGAAGGATCTTTTCCAATGAGCATTTTGACATTCTTGAAGCTGAGAGTCAAACCGCAATCCTGATGTGGTCATTTGGAGACAATAAAATGGGAAGTGCGGTCAAATTGGAGAAGTTCTGGGTTATGCCGTCCTAGAGGCATGGGGGGAAGGTTCTAAAGAGCTTTATCTTATCTCTTCCTCAAGTGGATTACAATCTTAGAAAGCTCTCAAATAAGCTTGGTATTGCTAAAGAAAAGGAAAACACATTATTTGCCCATACCCTCTGGCTAAATTTTTGAGGGAAAGTTTACGGGCGTTGCTTTTGACTGAAACTGTCGTCTCAATCTTTTGTAATTATGAGTATTAGAGGTATTTACCGTTTTGGTGAGTATTTACCGTATTGGACTTATGCAAGTCAAGCAACTATGGAGATTATAGCTTGAGGACACCGGGAGAGCAAATAACAATTTGAGGAGTAGGGAAATAATTGAATTGAAGAGGAGCAGGGCGGGGAGTGAAGTAAATAACAAATTGTGTTTGATGCTAAAACAAGAACGCTCTTAAAGAAAACCATAAGTCTTGCTTGGAGATTAGATAAGAAATGAGGAGGCGATTAATTCTACACGAAACAGGATTTCCTCGCTTAACGTTTATCACTTTTTACTTTATCAACGTTCGAGTATTTTTCAGGATATTTACCTTTTATATCGTATTCGACGAGTACGCGTGTATAAATCCTGGTGTAGTCAATCGAACGTTTGCTAATCGAACCCAATCGAACACCAATCGTTCGATTGACTTCGATTGGGTTCCGTGATCGAAGATGATCGAACTCACCCATCATTGCCAGAGACCAAAAACGTAATGAACATGGCGAGTCATTTCAATAGACCTTTTTGCCGATACGGCGGCCATATTGAATTAATTCGATTTAAGGAGTATTATAGGATGCCCAGGGGGCATGAGCACATTTCGTTTGTATTTAGGAGCGCTTTTCGGGACACTTTTTCTTAAAGTTTCTTAGAATAAGATTGTAATGGGAAAAAGGATCCCTGTGCCGTGTTTGGATGTAATAATGATCGCCTTTTTCCCGAGAAATATACAGTGAAAGACAATATTTCTAATACTAAACTAGAAAAAAAGCGATCATTATTACATCCAAACACAGCACAAGGATCATCTCTCCCATTACAATCTTATTCTAAGAAAACTTTAAGAAAAAATGTTCCGAAAAGCGCTCAAAAATACAAACGAAATGTGCTCATGCCCCCTGGGCATCCTATAATACTCCTTAAATCGAATTAATTCAATATGGCCGCCGTATCGGTAAAAAGGTCTATTGACGATTCTATAATTCCGATCCCATCTATATTACGCTATCACTGGAACTCATGGCCAAACAATCTTTATCCCCCCACCACCACTTTTTGCCGAACATCCATAAAGACCCATAAACTATAGCGATCATACAGAAATCCCTCTATCTTATTTCTCTATTACTACCCAGGCATATACCTTTCACCGGCTATTTTACCCGAAAATATACCCTCTGAACGTTTATCAACACTCCAAATACATTCTTACCGAAGTTTAGGAACGATTTGCCGTCTTTTCCCTGTGCCAAAGGCATCTGCAAATTGAGCAGCTTATTCCTTGACGATTCATCAGGAAAAACGTAATTTCTGCTACCAAAAAATATAAATTATAAATGATTTAAATGGTGTTTTTATTGTGTCCAAGGATTGCCTTTTTGAAAATTTGACCTGGGTGGTTTGTACTCCATAACCGTCTAATTTTTTGTAGGGCAAAGGCGTGGTTACATGAATTTCGATCTCGCGGTATCTCAGCTGAAAACGCCATTTTGGATTGCTAAAGTAGAGCACCTCTTACGGCAGATGGTAAAACCACTGACAATTTAACATGGTTCGTCAATTCCGTGTGAACAGAGCAAAAATATTGAACGGTTCCTAATGAACGAAGTGTCCAGCCAAAATTTTCAGCCGGTCAAAAACAAGAAAGAATATTTGTCAAGTGCCGCTTGAACTTAGCCTGTTATAGGTCAACATTCTTGAGTAACAATGTACTGTAGCCTTTCACGTCATAGTGTTTGCAATGGCTCCTGTTGAGGGACTTTTGGAGGGAAACAGTTTTGTTGTTAGAGGTGAGGTAACCTCGTGCGAAGCAACCAACAAGATCGCTCGCTGTTGCGAAGAAACAAATAACTGATGTTAAAATGATATCTTACCTTCGAGGTATGTAGACAGATACTATTGTTGCAAGAACAGCCACTGTTATGAACAGCACTATGATTAATAAAGACTTCCAGTTTCTTTTCACTAGGTTCTGGAAAACAACATGAAACGATGTTTTTTTCTTTTTGACTTTCAATTCTGTTTCGTCTATTACCCTATCTTCTTGATTCTTCTGAAAAGTCAAATAAAAAGACCTAAAGTCTCTTTTTATTTAGAGAATGCGCAAAAGACAAAAAAATAGTTTTTGGTTTCATCCTTGCTAATTACTAGGAATAGCCTGCGTGGCAGACGTTAAAAGGGAAAGGGGAAGGGAAATTCGGGCGCGCGAGAGCGTGAGGGGCACACGAGGAGGGTAGAAGTTAACGCTATTGTTTTCTCCGTTTTTTTACACTCAGATTCTAAGCGTAAAAATCGTGATTGGTCTGCAGAGTGCCAATCTTCGATTTAAAGCCTTGTTCCGATTTGTTGAAGTCGACATCTCTCCAATTAAGTAACTTGATAGACCTTTCGCGTTTTCTCGCGGGCGTTCTCAATATTTTCATTTCGAGTTTGTCTTGCGGGAATAGACCTTATTCACGATACCCGCTATCTTTGCATGCAATTTAGGATTGATGGGATAAAAGCAATGTCACGTGGTATTTCAGGGGGCAAACAAAAGATGAAATTTACCAATGCGAGAAATCACTGTCGACTTTGTTTATTCTCTCAAAACGAAACGACGATTTAAAGGTCATACAAAATGTACGGTTTGAGTTTCGACAAAATTAACGTCATTATTGCTTGCTGTGAGGCAGGGCGTAAAAAGCTACGGCGTTGAAACGAGTGTCCGGGTCTAGCGATCTAGCTGTGATGCAAGGGCCTGGGTACTACCAAAGAGACAAAACAAGATGGCGGACATTATACTGGATAGTCAGAGAGATTATCCAGTGAACGTTAGCCATTATCCCGTGGCATTCATTTGCTGCAAGCAATAGCGAAGGAAAAAATTCTTTTTTCTCACGTTCGTTTTCTGTTTGTTCAATTTTTCCCCCGCGAACAAATATCTGTATTGAATATAGTTCCACCTCCGTGACCTGTATTAAAATTTCGTGACTTGGTAAGAAAATGGCATCACAACTCTGATGATAGCACTGACATCATTTTTAGACTAATATTATCGGTTCTCTACTTCAGTTTAATATAAAGTTGTGTAATTCATCACCTACTATGGCATTTATTTTTTGCTGCCCAGTTTCAAGGCCAGATAATCTGTTTTCACTATAAAGTTTGGATTTGTTGGTGTACATCAGTATTCTTCTCTAAACACCTTATTGAGCTATCTCCAATATCGAGCATTACACTGAGTTGGACAGATTGTGAAAACTAAAGTCCGGGTAAATTTAAATGTCATAAAATCATCATTATTTTTTATCTTGTACAGTAATACTACTATGCAATGAAGAATGAGTATGTAAAAAAATATAATTAACTGGCGTTGAAAAACTAACAAAGAGGTTGCAAGAACACAAATCAGTAGCCCAGCAAATATTTTTGTTTGGTAATAACAGCTTTTTGTAATGAAATGGTCACTGAAATCTACGCATGCAAGACATACTGGGGAACTTAAAAGAAACTAAACATTCACTAGTCTTACACTGAAACTAGACATTGTTATATATATGTATATCTTACAGATACAACATAAAACATTTATATAACTTACAAATTCAAAAGTATATCAATTTCATTCTTGGTTAAATTTATTAACTGCAGCCAGGCTAAATCAAACTTGATTCAAAAAATACTTTCCTGTTTCCTTGTCTACACTATATAATATTAGGAGAGGGGATGTAATGCTAGAAATATTATACAGTAGTACAATCAAAAGATAAGGCACCTCCAGGAAATCTAGGTGGTCTCTACTATTCTTCAGCCATTTTCTTTTACTCTCTATAAGAGTTACACCTGTCCATTAATGCAGACATTTTGTGCCAGTCCCAATAGTTTCCATCTGAGAGAATTGACTGTAGTTTGCACAACACCACACTTAAGCCACTGACGACAAAAATACGATGCTACACAGTCTTAATTTATTTTACTTGCAGTCAAATTAAGACCTCTTCATGTTCTTCTTCATATCCACGGTATTATGAACTCGTTTATCTTTCAGTGTGTGTTCTAGTAGTGTTTTCAGGCCGGGCACTCACTGCTGTCCTGCAAAAAATCATAACAACAAACACATTCTACGATGTAATTTTACGGTGGAATCTTTGTGGGGGTTTGAAAGCAAATTTCTCCACAGGCTTCATTCTGCCTCTGTGCAATACAACCTTTAAATTTATAACGCAGTGAAGCAGAATTTGTTGTTGTTTATATAAAGACTGTCACACGAGATCATTCGAATGCAATTTTCTGGTAGAACTGTAAAAATAGTCAGAACCTTCTTGGATCGCAGTTTTGTAACTAAAAAAAATTATTTACCATCTTAGTGTACATTAAAAAAAGAAAAATTGCTAAATTGGGCAACTGAAATCTTTTATTTTACTAACAAGCTAAACGTCAACGTACAAAACAAAAACCTTGCTATCGCCATTATGAAGTCGTCACTTCAGGAGTAAAAAACCTTAAAGGTTCATAAAAGTTAACTCTAAAGATTTCCATGCACAAACAAAAAGTTTATAAAACCATTACATATTTTTTTTGTAGCCGTTTATAATCATTTGGTTTTGACTGGCAAGATAAAACGCGGCCTTCAACCTGTAATATTTGATAGGCCATTTTTACACAGTACATAAACATAAAAGGCGAGAAGACACCTTAACTTATAAGACTAACTATAAAATATCACCTAAATATTTTCTGTATATTGCATAGAAATACGCCAAATATCAAATCTCATTATAGATTGCAGCGATCTTAAGATATAAAGCAATAAATCCCAACCTACCTCCAGCTCGACGGCGCCATTTTTCTTGCCCTGACAGCGGATCGAGAGCGGAAAGGTCAACTAGCTCCAGTCCTACTCCGCATCACAGATGAACCAGAGAGCGCGTATGATCGTTTCAACGCCTTAGCTTATTACGCCCTGCTGTGAGGACATCTTACGGTGGCTACTGCATCCAGAAAGGTAAAAATGATCACTTCCACCCATAATTTTCCATTATCGTCTTTAATGTAAAAAGTTGTTCATCCGCGGTTTCTTGCATTAGAAAAATTTATCACTTGTTTGCCCCCTGAGAAGCCACGTGACATTGCTTTTATCCCATCAGTCCTTAAGCGCGTGCAAAGATGGCGGGTATCGTGAATAAGGTCTATTGTCATTATTACATCAAATGGAAACTCGGAAAAAACCGAGCCTCAGATGGGATTCCAACCCACGACATTGTTTTTTGTGTTTTTGTCAAAAGGACATGGTTAATTAAACGGTAAAAATCACGTGACCTATTTAACAATGATATAAATAGCCTTTTCTCATTTTACAAGGCAAAGTTTCCGTTTGCGGCGATTAGATAACATCTTGGTAATGAAAATTCCCTATAATATGGTATTGTAATCTTGCTCCTAAAGAGAAACTATGTTTGTGACGTCGTCGACGAAGTAATGTCACGTGCCATTCGTTCTAATTCTTCCCGTGTTATTCATTTATGAGTTCAACTTTTCAGGATTTCTTATGGAAGCAAAACCTTCAAATAGCATTTAACAAAAGGGGCTATATATGTCACAAGGATATTGTTGTTGTACTCAAGTAAATCAAGGCCTGGGTCTAAGTCATTTACGGCTTTTATGTACATTTTCCAAAAACTATTGTAAAAGCTAGACATCCACGAGAAATGATAAATGCTATAGTAAACGAAACTTAAGAAAACTTGAAAAAAGAAATCCAAATTATATGGTCAGGTGATCGACCACGCCCTCTATTGTTCGAAAATTGGAACCAGCGATTCTTACCACTCCAGTTTCTCTGTATCAAAACATTAACCCTACAAATTTTCTACGAAATCAGCTCGGAATGTTTCGAAGCATTACAATTGGCAATAGCAATTGGTGTTTATTGACTAATGCCAGTCCTCCTCTGAACACAATTTTTGTCAGGAGAAAGACGTTACAAAACAGGGCGTGGCGAGTGAAGTGATGCACTATTTTTAACTGACCAGGTGGGGGTCGAAGCTAATTTGCTTTTGTCGGTAGATGGCGCAATGTAACATTAATCAGGCTCAGTTTTCAGCCCCTTCCCCCCCAACTTCAACTCCTGATAATTATTGCACAGCCTCCTAGCAATAGTCTATAAGATGACCGGACGACAGTTTCAAACGCTTAATATAGTCTTAAATAACAAAACGAGGCACACATTTTTGGAATGCAATTGATGGGACACGTTTTAGCATCTTAAAAAGGTAGAAAACAGCGTAACGTGGCCTCTTTAAGTGACCTGATTTAAAGACGGATTGCTAGCAAAAGGCACGCAATTGAAAGAAAACGCGCATTCTTAAAATTGTACCAACCTTTGCCTTTGTGAAACGTCCTGTCTCATTAATTTCACCTACTTGACTCTGTAAAGCCTCTATCTGTCTTTCGTGTTTCTCCAGAGTCCGTGAAGCTTTACCCACCTCCTCTTGCAATTTAAGGTTTTCTATGTATCGTTCTGCTGGACCCTGCTGTTGAACAGAGGAACAAGCGTATCCATGTTAATGTTATGTTCTGTATTTGATACTCATTAGCAGAATGCTGGTAAAACTAGTAAAGTGGGCGACATATCAATATATCGCGCACACATTGGAAAGATGATGCGAAAAAACTACAATGCACTGGGCAATCAATACTTCTGAATCCTAGGGGATTAGGGGAGCAAGGGTGGCGCAGCTATGAGAGCACTCGCCTTTCCCACCAATGTAGCCCAGGTTCAAATTCCAGCGTCAACGCCAAACGTGGGTTGACATTGTTTTTTGTTTTCTCCTTTGCTCCGAGAGTTTTTTCTTCGGGTACTCCGAGTTTCCCCTCACCTCAGAACCAAAATTTCCAAATTCCATTTCGACCAGGAATCAGGTAGACTAAGAAGCACTAAGTGGATTGGCTACCGCGGGGTTAGATAGTATAAAATACAACACAAAATGGGGAAAAATATATTTATTTAATTTGTTTTGACGTCACATACAAAAAGATTTTTTTGAGATTACTGACAAAACAAAATTAGATTATTTCAAAAAACTTCGTTAGATACATAGACCGCACATCGCCAAAATTCACACCCTGTTTAATGCTTCGCTTCTTAAGAGACACCCTGTTCAAGACTCTCAATAGTGAAATTCTATACCCTGTTTAAGACTCAAGAACCTGAAAACCATACCCTGTTCAGCGGCACATACCCGTAAAGGCCAAATGAGGGGGTGCCCCCCCGGAGTTGCCACCTGCTAATTGTTATAAATTAATCAATGTATTTATTTGTTTACTTATTTAACAACCAAATCACAAAAAATTGTAAAAGTGTTAGAGATCAAATAAAAAAAAAAAGATAAACACCCAGAATAAATTTTCAGGTCTTGTATTAGTTACGAAAACAACATGGCAAACAAAAACCTTTTCTCTATATTTACAAGAAGTACCCGGTTTTAAGGTTGTCTGAAACTATATATATATTCTTCACGCCGGATGAGTTAACCCTTTTCAGACCGGGGGCTTTTATTCCCTCCCCCCCCCACCCCTCCGCCCAACCCTCGCTTTAACGTTGACTAACTTCAAAACCGTTTAAGCTATGACCACCGACTTTTCCTAGAATTTATGTGAGAATTTATTTTATTTATCATTAACATTAGTTCAATATTCACGTTGCCATAACAGAATTTGGAAAGCCATGTTTTTCAAACTTTGATTCTTTGTTCAAAAAAAGTTTTTTTAAATGTTTTTGCTTATTAAATAATTTATTACAATTATTTTATCCTTATCTTAATTGTTAATATAATGCAAGCTTTTCAGTGACAAATTTGAGAAATACAAGAGAGAATATAAAATAACCAAAGGGCAGATGCTGGATTCAATTTTCAACAGTGTTTAGCTCTCTGAATCTCATATCTTGTAGATTTTTTTTGCTTCTAAGGATCCTTTTATACGCAGATTGAACTTTTCTATCAAGATCACCTCGATTCGTACGGGACTTAAGGACGGTGCCCACTATTGTTACTGCCCACATTTTCTGCGCATGCCAAGGTAGTCGCGCGCGACGCGAAAGAAATGCGCAACACGCAGGACACGCGGACTGGTTTTGTCTCCTGAAAGTCTGCGAGGTTCTAGTTATTTCTTGTGGAAAAGAGGCGTCGTTTTTCAACAGATGAAAAATAATTTCTATTTATCTTGTCAGTTCTTTGAAAACCGAAGAAGTATGCCCTTGTTGCTATTTATACGTATAATCGATCTGACCGAACATTTTTTAGTCAAACAAACGTCAATTCTAAAACATTAAAAGTTATTGCTTGAAGATGTTACGCTTGGAGCTTGGGTATTAAAAACTCCCTTAATAGGCAAGGATCAGTAAATCAGCAGGAAAATAGCTCCAAGTCCTCCGCTTAATCGAGAAACTGCAAGCTTACCTTTCACTCCCGTTCTTCGTGTTTTATCGGCTAATCGGCTATAAACACTTTCCCTAATATTTCTTTAATTTTGTAAGATTTTATGGAATTATTCACCAGAAGATAGGTTTAAAGCGTTCGAGTACATACAGATGTCCCTTTTATTTAGAGTCCGAGGCTTTTATTTGTTGAACAAACAAGAAAAACACTATCACAAGATTGCTTGAATTGTTGAGCAAACGATTGAAGAAGTACCTGTCTTAGAGTCCCTCTCGACTATTTTCCAATACAGTACAGTAGTTTGTTTACAGCACCAGCCCTGGATCTTGAGCTCGCCATACTACTCTATGTGCGCTGGAAATAATCTGTAATACCTTGGAGATTGCTCTTCTCCAAAAATTGGTGTTAAATGTTTGAGACGGAGAGGGCGCAGTTGAATGAAATAGTATAATTTGTTTTCCTTAGAGTCCATGAAATGTCCTGCTTCACTTTCTGTTTTTGCTGTCCTCCGTGTGTTGTTGTTTTCTTTGACTGTTAGCCATTGTGGATATCTAAGAGTACTCCGCGTTGAGTGAAGCAATAGCGAAACTGACCGGGGAGGGGATGGGAAAACTGTAAATAACCCCCAAAGCGATTAAGTTAAGGTCGAAAGCAACCAATTTAACTTCTAAAAACGCGTGGTAACCCCTACTTTTCATCTTTCCAAATCAAAGTAATAAGCCTACTCAGCAAACGATCAATTTTTGGTTCGGGGAAAATGTCGTTTACACTATTTTTGAGGCAAACGCGTGGAGAGGGGTAAATGCTGATAACTTCCCAGTTGTGCTGATATTTCAAAAAAAGACGTGTAAAGAGCAGTTGTTATGTTATCATTTGTTGTTTATTTTGAAACCTTGTTACAATTATCATTGCATTTGCGCCAGTTCACTTGTACACACTGAAATTTGGGGAAAAAAATAACTTTTTATCATTTTTCTAAAAAATGCCCATTCAGCGTTTTTCTCCATATTGAAGCGCCGTTATTTCTGAAAAATGCGTGGTTACCCCCAGTTTTCTTTTTGGATTTCAATAGCCGTTGATATGATCTACTTGTCTCACATAGTCATTATGAGGCAAAATACTTCCTATTAGTGGGCACCGTCCTTAAGCGAAATGGAATACATTTAATTAATTCAAAATGGCGGATCCAAGGTGGCGGATGGTTCCAGTTCTTCTTTGATAATAAATGACTTCATCATAACATCACTACTATTGTTAAGAATTATTTAACAATTATTCCAAGAGTGTGCGTTGGACATGAGTTGGTTATAATCATCTCATATCCAACAAGCGCGAGTGGAATATTGTTTTATTAATCAGGCCACTTAAGGCATGACTACCCAATTAAATATAGATATTTTGTAAAATGCGATATTTTAACCGGTTTGCTTCCATCAGTGATCCTGAAAAGTGAACTACAAATGTCGCTCAATGGAAAAAAAAAACGTAAAACTTGATTTCAAATAACACTTGCTTCGTCAATGACGTCCCAAACAACGTTTCCTTAAACGGGGAAGGGTTACAAACCTTAATCTTAGGAATTTTCACTACCAAAATGTTACATAAACAGTGTAAATTGTAAATTCGCCTTGTTTGATTGGGAATGTTATTTAGCCTTTTAGCCATTTCACTAATTAACAAGTCACGTTACCCCTTTCCCTCTATTTACCGATTGCTACATAACGTAAACACACTAATAGCCTTTGAAATATACCTAAAAGAACTTATCGCTCTTTCATTATTCTTTCTCCATTTTGGAGTAAAGATTTACCGTTAATTTTCAATTATAAGTCACATGACAAAAATTTGAGCTTCTAAAATATCTCATATTGCTAAGGCCATTAGAAGCAAACCGTTCTAAGTAGCATTTTATCAAAGTATTTAACAATTAATGAACGAGGCTGAGTATCTTATGAAGAATTATGGAGATCGTGGAGGGTGTCAACACCCTCTGAGATCTCCATAATTCTTCATATGATACGAAAGCCAAATTCAATAATTGTTTTATTATTCATTCAAAATAATTCCTAGTTTAAAAACATAGCTAAAACATGCTTACCTCCATCGATGTTAAGTTCATCTTCGATAGTGCACGGTTAGGGTTGTCCAGCTCCACAAATATTCTCCAAATAGCAGATGCAGTCGCCCTTTGAGTTTTCTTCTTGCTGTTCTTGCCATGTTTTTAGCCATTATTTCGCCTAGTTCTTAGAAAGTCATGCCTTAAGTGGGCTGAGTAAAAACGCCCACAAAATACGAGAATTCTTTCCAACTTTGTTTGTTCTATTGTTTAATTATCATTTTGCCTTACACACAAAATATACAAATTTTAAAAAAGATGAGGCAAGGGAGCCCGAGGAAGCCAACTAGTCTTGTGAATAGGACCACCTTTAAAATTATGCTATCTTATTAGTAAATAAAAGACTGGCATCGGCAAGTACGCACATTTCAGTTTTTTTTTCTTTTTTTTTTAATATTAATTGAGCGTACACGTACAGTTACAATATTTGGAAAGCATGGTATACTGGCTCATATACCGCGATGGCTAAGCCAATTGCATTATCCAATGATTCAGTTTTTTAATAATTTGTGTTAGCCAATTTCTTGATTTCGTCAGACACCTAAATATTTAAGTATTTTCGCCTTATGGCTATTTTGAGTAGAATTTGGATTCTCCCAGTAAATTCAACAACATAATTATAACGTCACGATGACATCAAATTCCGTCATTGTATCAATGAAGTTGTGCCTGGATGTTGGAAATGATGAGTACACACCCCTGTACTCCACCCCCTATCACCGTCGCAGGAAGCAAAAAAAAAAAAACGGTCTGATTAGAATAGGGCTAAGGCTTTTGTTTTGCAAAGACGTTCAGAGGAATATAAATATCAATAGATACGTCAGTAGAGCTACAATCCAGCCATCAGCTAGCTCTCAGGTTCAGCAAGCCGTTTCAACTTGTTATTTTAAGTTACCCTATGTAGGCTCCTTCACTAGAGAAGCACAGATAAGGATACGCAAACTCGTTCAGCGCTATTGCACTAACATCGAAATTAAGTTAGCTTTTTCTTCTTTTAAGGTTGGTAGTATGTTTAGTGTGAAGGATCCTGTTCCTCTCGATCTCCGTTCGCGCGTTGTCTACAATTTTTTGTCTGCAGGATGTAATGCCTGTTACATCGGCGAGACTAGCCGACACCTCTCGACGCGCGTTCGTGAGCATCTGAGCAGGGATAGGAATTCACACGTTTATCAGCATTTGCAGCAATCCCAGGCATGTCGTTGTCTAGCTAATAAGAATTGCTTTTCCATCGTAGATTGTGCACCCAACAAACTGCAACTTATGTTGAAGGAGGCAATGCACATCAAGTGCGAGAATCCCACTTCAAATAAGCAGCTGAAACATGCTGACTTAACTCTCTCGTTCTGATATTATTCTTTAAGTTTATTTNCCCCCTATCACCGTCGCAGGAAGCAAAAAAAAAAAAAACGGTCTGATTAGAATAGGGCTAAGGCTTTTGTTTTGCAAAGACGTTCAGAGGAATATAAATATCAATAGATACGTCAGTAGAGCTACAATCCAGCCATCAGCTAGCTCTCAGGTTCAGCAAGCCGTTTCAACTTGTTATTTTAAGTTACCCTATGTAGGCTCCTTCACTAGAGAAGCACAGATAAGGATACGCAAACTCGTTCAGCGCTATTGCACTAACATCGAAATTAAGTTAGCTTTTTCTTCTTTTAAGGTTGGTAGTATGTTTAGTGTGAAGGATCCTGTTCCTCTCGATCTCCGTTCGCGCGTTGTCTACAATTTTTTGTCTGCAGGATGTAATGCCTGTTACATCGGCGAGACTAGCCGACACCTCTCGACGCGCGTTCGTGAGCATCTGAGCAGGGATAGGAATTCACACGTTTATCAGCATTTGCAGCAATCCCAGGCATGTCGTTGTCTAGCTAATAAGAATTGCTTTTCCATCGTAGATTGTGCACCCAACAAACTGCAACTTATGTTGAAGGAGGCAATGCACATCAAGTGCGAGAATCCCACTTCAAATAAGCAGCTGAAACATGCTGACTTAACTCTCTCGTTCTGATATTATTCTTTAAGTTTATTTTACATATATGTATATATATATTTTGTTCTCATAACATTTTGTGTTATAAGTATGTGTAATCAAATGGTGACGAGTGAAATTAGGGAATAATTTCACGCGCGTTTTGTCCAAACCCTAATAATTTCCCGAGCCTTCAGGCGAGGGAAATTATGAGGATTTGGACAAAACGCAAGTGAAATTATTCCCTAATTTCACGAGTATACCATTTGATTACCTATTAATATCATGGGTGACGAATTACGTTGAATAAACATGTCAAAAATCCAAGATAGGATCGTATCGATCGAGAACTCCACTCTCTCAAATGTTTAGACCTTAAATTTGGGTTATAAAGTTCAGAATTTTTCAGACTTTTTCAGCACAATACCTGTTAGAATCCTTCTTGTTGTTCTCTTATGTGTTCAGGTATTCTAAAGCGTCTTTTTGTGCCCTGACATCTTCATTCGCGGCAATTTAAAACTTCGTCGCCATCTTGACACTGAGACGTAGGGAAGGGTTGCCATGGCAATTTTGTAATTTCACATGTGAAATTACAAATTAACGCTGAAATTTCGCGCCAAAATTAAGGAGTAATTCGTCACCTATGATATTACCATTGTAATTGTTTCAAGTTTTACAATTTTCTTCCTTGTATTAAGTGTAGTGCTCGCGCAAGTGTTATTCCATGTCTCGCGCATCTTAAAATTGTGCGTTAATTTTGGAAATTTTGAATTGTATCACGTTTTAACTTATACGTCATTGCTTGTATTAATTCAACCAAACTTGCAAACAAATTCACAACTGAAGGTGATCGTTGATCTGAACGATCTAAACATGTCTTGTTTTAAACTTAAAGTTGCTGTCCATTTTTTAAAAAAAGCTACTTGCCTGCTATTATCCAGACTATAAGCAAAAAAAAAATATATTTAACGCACAATTACAAAAGGTGCGGGACATTTTCTCATCCATTTTTCGAAAAAATTTCCATNAAGGGTTGCCATGGCAATTTTGTAATTTCACATGTGAAATTACAAATTAACGCTGAAATTTCGCGCCAAAATTAAGGAGTAATTCGTCACCTATGATATTACCATTGTAATTGTTTCAAGTTTTACAATTTTCTTCCTTGTATTAAGTGTAGTGCTCGCGCAAGTGTTATTCCATGTCTCGCGCATCTTAAAATTGTGCGTTAATTTTGGAAATTTTGAATTGTATCACGTTTTAACTTATACGTCATTGCTTGTATTAATTCAACCAAACTTGCAAACAAATTCACAACTGAAGGTGATCGTTGATCTGAACGATCTAAACATGTCTTGTTTTAAACTTAAAGTTGCTGTCCATTTTTTAAAAAAAGCTACTTGCCTGCTATTATCCAGACTATAAGCAAAAAAAAAATATATTTAACGCACAATTACAAAAGGTGCGGGACATTTTCTCATCCATTTTTCGAAAAAATTTCCATTACTTTTTCACCAAACGTTTAAGTGTTCGGGAATCATGCAAGAATCTCTTTTTTGCCTAGCGGAGGCGAATGGATTATTAAGACAAACAGACGATCGGAATAAATGTCTAGAAAGTGAAAGAAAGGTGTAAACCCTATTTGTTGCGCACATTGGCTGCGGCTTTGTTTATCTGTTTTCCCCTTGACCTCTCCGTAAAGAAGAAAGGGCCAACAAGGGAATACCTTTCCGAAGATAAACATTGCTCTCATACAGTTTTAATAGACCTGAAATAATATCATGTAAACAATTTACGAATAGCTTTTTACTTGGTGAACTCACCCTTTCCGTTCTTGTTCCACAGTTTAAAGATTGCAGTTGCAATTTACAAATACTAAACTAACAATACAGGGATTCAAGTACAAAGAAAAAGGCAAAAAAAACCCGAAGTTTTGCAAGAGACTTTACGAAAGATCTTTCCTTCTGTTGAAAGAGGGTGACGGTTCTGAAGCCTACTGCACCCATGAATCATTTTTGAACACTAACTTACCAATTATCCTATCATTGCAGAAAAAGAAAAACCCCTAAAAGAATTTTGCACGTCTTTCTATCTCAGAGGGATCTTTATCTTCCTTATATCGAGCTTCGCACACCAATTATATATCAAACATACCCAGGAAGTTTATTGATATAGGTACAGGAGTAAGAATCTTACAAAAAATTAGCCTTAGGCAGTTGCAATCCGTGGAAACCCAATAAATATCTCTGCTTTAACTTCAAATGAAAGAGTTGCATGCTAACTTTAGTTACCCTTACCTTTTTCATGACTCTTGCGCTTTCGAAAGCTGAGTTCCTTGCGATATCAGACCTTAAGCTGTTGTATGCACGCCTGCACCTGTTGTGCTATATATTTATACACTAATCATCCATGTGAAATTTATTCAGGCGGACTGCCAGCATTATTAGCTCCGAGTGACGTAATCAGAGTTGTCATCTGCAAACGATTCGGGGAATCAGGTCGCTTGATTGAATTGGTAATGTACAAACCTTCAATACCTAATATTTTGGCTATTTCCCTTATACTTCGAAAACGGTAACTTTACGCGATCACATAAATCAATCCGTAAGCCCGACGATTTTGTTACTTTTTTGGCTTGCATTAAGCGTTTTCTAAGGGTGCATTCTGGGCGTAATCCGCCAAGGAGGGGGAAGGAAATGCGGTAGCTTCCCTGAAAGTGACCTTTCTAAGAATCTGTACCCAAAGAGACGTACGAATTTAGATTTGATAGATTGATTTACTGGGGAATTCAAAAGGCTGGTTATGGAGCCAATTACCGGATTTGGATTATCCCGCTGAAGACCCACCCTGACTAACTTTTCTTAGATAATGACATAAAATATATTAAAGATCGCTAGATGTTTCCTTCGAATTCTATTTATTGCCTTCTTCATGTGAGTGACGACCGCGCGGTCTGGGCAACTGGCCAATAGACGAAGCTAAGGTCATGGTTTATACTTTGTTTCATAATACATCTGACGGATTTCGCAGAATAAGCAAACTGCTATATAAAAGTTGGCCTCCATATCTTAAAGAGCTTGTTAAACTTATTATTATATGCGATATTTTACTCTTTACATTTAACTCTTAGAAACAGCTAAATCAAAAAAGGTGCTTTGGCAATTGGTCATTGGTAATTGGGCATTATGCACATATGGAACAATGCACTGATTTGCTTGAGTAATCACCAAACAACATGTACGCAATAGCCCAATGCCTAAGCAACCTTCATTGAATCAGCTATATCATCATATCAGCGATCGAGAAATATAAAATTTTCTTTCGTAAAATTTAAATTAATTAACATTCCATTCTAAATTCTGGTATATATCGGACTAAAACTCTCAGAGCGAGGTAATTGCGCTATATCCTCCCCATATTTAGAATCGACATATTTGTAACTCGTTGAGAAAAAGACATCGGCATATGTCAATGAGGAAAAAAATGTAAGCTAAGATACGATTCGTCTTCAAAAGGTTTTGTAGATAATCAAAGGTAAAAAACGATTTCTCTCATTTCTTCCTTATCAGTACCCTAAATGAGTAACTAACCAGGCTGTAGTTAGTTTTTCGCCAAAGATATCACATTGTTAAAAAAATATACAAAACAAATATTTTAGAATGGGCTGGCTTTTTTATACGTAGGTCCATTCCATTATCGTTAAGAAGGTGGTGGGTGACAACATTTTTGATACTACGAAAGGGAAATCAAAGGATTACTACGCCCTACTTATCAGAGAAAAAGCTAAACCGCCCAATATTATTCAAAAATTACTGAGTAACTTTCATTTTAACAGCGACCATCTGATTAGAAGCAAATATTTAAGGTGCCACACTCTATCGTTGTCGAATCGTATGTTAAAGCCTTCCAGTACAAAGTAATTAAGTCAATTCTTTACACAAATACAAAGTTGTATAAAATAGGTTTTAGAACAAATGATTTATGTACTTTCTGTGACAATCAACCCGAATCAATAACCCATTTGTTCTATCACTGCTCACGTTCTAAAAAGTTTTGAATTGAATTTGAATTATATCGGTGCCTTATTTTGAATCAACGAATTCGTCTCTGCTTTGAAAATGTGTTGTTTGGAATTTTGACGGAAAATGCTTGCCCTTTACTTCAACTGCTGAACTATTTTATAATTATTGGAAAACTCTATTTGTGGGACTGCAGGAGCAAACAAATCCTTCGAAACATTTATGGATTTAGGGCGAAGATCATCGCTAAATATGAAATAAAAGAAAATATCAGCAACAAAGAATTTTTTAAAAGAAATAGATACTGACGCCGTATTTAAGTTAACTGTACTGTCTTAACTCCGTATTATTTCATTGCCGTGTTGTACTTTTTTTTTCTAATTTCTTTTGGCTATCTTTAAAAGGAGGAACGGGCAATGGGAATGGGGAACGGGGAGCGCGGAATCTTTAAAAGGGCTTTAACAAGCTGGTGTGAAATCAATCCTTGCACATTTCCAAGTTCTTAGCTGAATGATTTTCAAAGCGTTGGTCTTGAAAAAGTTTGAATTTGACAAATTTAAGGTAGTAGTCTGTTTCAGCCAATCAGCTGAATGAACCAAAAACGCGCGCGCTGTCAAAATTTGTTGTTGTGCTCATGTTTTTCGTGTATATTATTACCTATACAAATATACCTGGTTTTTTGAAAACCGGGCTACTAAAAAATGTCAGTCTCTCACACTGATTGTTAATTTGATGGCCCTTGTTACTTGAAAAGTAAAATCTCACCTCAAAAAGAAATTATTGAATACATGAGCTTCCATTTGATAGAATCATCTGTCTTGAAAGTAACAAAAGTGAAGTTTTCCTCATTAATCTGGAAAATAAGGCATTTTAAGAAGCAATTTTTAGTG